ATGCGCAGAGGCATTGTGCGCGCGTGGAGTCGAAATTTGATTTTGTTCACGGGTGCTTTTGTCCGCTTACCCCAAAGTCATGTTTGCGCGTTATATATATCTACATCCAAGATTGCTGTGGACTTCCAGTTGCTGGACCTGCAACTTTTGCCACAGCAATTTTCAATATGTATAATTGCATCCGTGTTGTTGCAAATTGCTATGGCAAAAGTTGCAGGTCCAGCAACTAGAAGTCCACAGCAATCTTGGATGGCTCCACTTCAACGATTTAGACGGAAAGGCCATAAAAGGCACAGCACTTTTTAAATTCTGGGAATTCTGTCATACCCTTTACATCTGACCATTTTAGAAGTTAGGATAAATCTTTAGACCATAAACAACCATATGAAGTACTTCGTCCCGGCAGGCAGACGATTTAATTGGGTGCTAGGCTTCACTGCATGAATGGAACAATTAAAGAGCTCGATATTCAGCAATCGCCGCTCAGCTTTGACCTTGTTACGGGTCTATGCCCCAATTCTGAGCGAGAATATGAGCTTTCCTCGATGAAGTAGAGTGTTCTTTACGGAATTCGCCATTTTGAAGGACGATTTCAGTGCTCATATCGATGCAGATGCGGAAAAGTGGGAAAGTATTATTGGAAATAACGGCCCTAGCAATCGAACAATAGCATATTTAATTCTTTTGGAAAAGTTAAGGCAGGTAGTTGATACAAGACTCCGCCAAAATCATCCAGGATTCCGGATGTGATATTCACATCCTGACCTAATTATCTACCTTTGTTTGTCATTTTCTTCGACTATAATGCTGCATCTGACTCAAAACATCGTTCATCAATGGTGTGGTGAATCTTAAAATACCATGGGATAGGTGACCACATCGCATTCCTAATAATTGGAACAGAAAACAGGAAAAACCAACAAAACTCTATCAACCTCCTGCCTTGAACAAAGCTTATGAGATATGATCCGAAATCTCGGTGCTGGTCAATCATCCTATCGACCATATTATTTTGTGTTGCATGTCAATGAACCGTGTTTTACTGTTTTCTGCATGATCACCAGCGCATAAGCGAAAAACTCTAAACGCAAAAGCCGCCTCAATGGCATGAGCTTTTCTTATAGGAACCAAAACACAGCAGACATCGGCCGGGAGTCCAACATGTAACGTAGAAAAACAAAGTTGATACAGATCTGCTCTCAGAGAAATATTCCCGTCGTATGGGAATATGCGGTAACCGGTGCCTTATATCAAAACTGCTGAAAAGTCGCAAATACAGCGGACATCACAAACCAAATATGTTTTAGTGAAGTTGTTGCTCACACACGAACAATAACCGCATAAAGCAATTGCGACTTTCTACAAATGCCGAAATGTCTTGCATGAACACTATCTTCCAGCACTGAAACGCGCATCAGTACCTTACCTGGTACAGGGAAGCTTATGCCTAGTCGTCGATAATCGTTTTGTCTGACTTACGACTCTGCAACGGATGACTGCGTTAAGCGAGGCACATAGCTGTCAACCAATCATTACTGTTGTTGGCACCCTTCGATGCTAAGATGGAACAAACTGCAAAGACCTGATGGCAAAAGCAACCAGAATATGAAATGGGAAGCATTAGGTTCCGCGGATACAGGGGCGAAACTCGGAAATAAGAGCGTACAATGGTTTGAACAGATTTCAGAGACAACCGCTGACATGAAAACTCTCTTACAATGGCTTTCTCGCGCTTCCGCCAACTGATGCCGTTTAGAAAGAGTCGGAACAGCGCCTGGGGGTCAGAAACAAACATCCAGGTGGACCCAGCGGGTCAAGTAGCTGTTTGCGATAAGGCCGCATTTAAGAAGTGGTATGGAGGCAGAGGGCCTTAATCTGGAATGTGGCACGATGAAGCGCGCAAAATATCAGCGACTGAAAGTGAAAGCTGATTCCTGAGAAAAGTTCAGTGAGGCGCTAAGCCGATTTTTAGCGGTAAACAAGGCATTTTGGATGACCATTCGTCCCCTCCAAGAACAAAACAAGGGCAGTCTAAGGATATTGAAAAACAAGACCGTACGACTTGTTGCAATGGAAGAAGACATACTTCAAGGATGGAGAGTAGTTCGAGGAACACAACAGAGAGCAACAACAGGATATGACTGAAGAGCAGGGGGTAAAAAATATTAGTTTTTCGGTACATGAAGTGACAGAATCCGTAACAAGCTTGATACGTGGCAAACTCTGCCATGAGATGTTCATAAAGTTAGGCGAAAAGACATGTTGTAGCTGACATGTGTCTAGCAATCAGCAATGTCAACGGGAAAGACAGCAGTGGTCAGAAGAACTGGGTTGGTGATAGCCCTGTACAAAAAGGGAGATCACAGGAGTGCGCTTCAGTTATCTGAGCATATCTAACTCAGCTGCAGAGGAAAAGTCTGCATAAAGGTACAGTCTACCGTAAGCCGCCGAATAGCTTATTCTAAAAGCCAGAAAGGGCTGTATAGTTTCAGAAAAAGCCAAAGCAACTATGACCTGATCTTCGTGTCACACTTGATTGCTGAGAACCTAGAGTTCACCTATCCTGTCTACACGAACTTGGTGGGCTATGAGAAAAAAAAACTCATGACTAGATTCCGCCCAAAACACTATAAGTGTGGCTAAAAACATGCGGGTTCGATGGCTAGTTGCTATGAGTCATCCAGTCACTATACGTTGAGAGCAGGTGCTACAACAGAGTACACTGAGCTAAGGGAGATCTTTCAGCATTGGCCCTGGTCTCAGACATGACTGTGTGCTGGACATGGATAGGAAAGTCGGTCGCAGCTAGGGCGATGACTGTATCAGCGCATTAGTGGAGGCTCTATCTCATTCAATGGGATTAACACATGCTCCTAGAGCTTTCGGTTAGTCGTTTCGCCATTTATCTCGGCTGACGACAAATAATGCCCCCTGAACCTATATATTTAGC